TGTGCGAGGAGGACCTGATGCCGGAGGATGACCAGAGAGCCACCCGAAACCTCTTCATCGGGAACCTGGACCACAGTGTATCCGAGGTGGAGCTTCGACGGGCCTTCGAGAAGTACGGCATCATTGAGGAGGTGGTCATCAAGAGGCCTGCCCGTGGCCAGGGTGGTGCCTATGCTTTCCTCAAGTTTCAGAACCTGGACATGGCACACAGGGCCAAGGTGGCTATGTCCGGTCGCGTGATTGGCAGAAACCCCATAAAGATAGGCTACGGCAAGGCTAACCCCACCACCCGCCTCTGGGTGGGTGGTCTGGGACCTAACACCTCGCTGGCGGCCTTGGCCAGGGAATTTGATCGCTTTGGGAGCATTCGGACCATCGATCACGTCAAAGGAGACAGCTTTGCCTACATCCAGTACGAGAGCCTGGACGCAGCCCAAGCCGCCTGTGCTAAAATGAGGGGCTTTCCCTTGGGTGGCCCAGATCGCAGGCTCAGAGTGGATTTTGCCAAAGCAGAGGAGACCCGCTATCCCCAGCAGTACCAGCCCTCACCTCTCCCTGTGCACTATGAGCTGCTCGCTGATGGATATACCCGGCATCGAAACCTGGATGCTGACCTTAGAGTGCGGGATAGGACCCCTCCACACCTTCTGTATTCGGACCGAGACCGGACCTTTTTGGAAGGGGACTGGACCAGCCTCAGTAAAAGTTCGGACCGCAGAAACAGCCTGGAGGGCTATAGCCGCTCAGTGCGCAGCCGGAGTGGTGAGCGCTGGGGAGGAGATGGGGACCGGAGTATAGCCAAGCCCTGGGAAGAGAGGCGCAAGCGGAGGAGCCTTTCCAGTGACCGTGGAAGGACAGCTCACTCCCCTTATGAGGAACGGAGCAGGACCAAGGGTGGGGGGCAGCAGTCTGAGCGAGGCTCGGACCGCACCCCTGATCGTAGCCGAAAGGAGAACCACTCCAGTGAAGGGACCAAGGAGTCAGGCAGCAACTCCCTTAGCAACAGCCGGCATGGTGTGGAGGAGAGGAGCCACCATCACCACCACCACGAGGCTCCAGACTCTTCCCATGGGAAAAAGACTAGAGAGAGTGAACGCAATCATCGGACCATTGAGGCAGAGCCCAAGACTCTTGAAGAGCCAAAACACGAGACCAAAAAGCTAAAGACTCTTTCAGAGTATGCTCAGACATTGCAGCTGGGTTGGAATGGGCTTCTAGTTTTGAAAAACAGCTGCTTTCCAACATCTATGCACATCCTAGAAGGAGACCAGGGAGTTATCAGCGGTCTCCTCAAAGACCACACTTCCGGCAGCAAGCTGACCCAGCTAAAGATTGCCCAGCGCCTTCGACTGGACCAGCCCAAGCTGGATGAGGTCACCCGTCGCATCAAGCAGGGGAGCCCCAATGGCTATGCAGTGCTCCTAGCCATCCAGTCAACCCCCAGTGGGCCTGGCACTGAGGGGATGCCCACGGTGGAGCCAGGCCTACAGAGGCGGCTTCTCAGGAACCTGGTCTCCTACTTGAAACAGAAGCAGGCTGCAGGGGTGATCAGCCTGCCAGTGGGTGGATCTAAGGGCAGAGACAGCACGGGCATGCTTTATGCCTTCCCACCCTGCGACTTTTCCCAGCAGTACCTCCAGTCGGCACTGAGGACATTGGGCAAGCTCGAGGAGGAGCACATGGTGATAGTCATAGTAAGAGACACTGCCTAGCCCACACCTGTGCTTCCCAGCTGCCTTTGGGTCGCAGAAGCAGTTCTTTTAAACATCTGCTCCCTTCTCTACCTACCTTACTCCCTTGGTTTGAATTCTCTGCTGGTTATTCTGGTTCATTTGGTGGCATCCTGTCCACTGCTAAAACTGAGTTCTTAGATCTGGGGCTTTTTGTTTCTTTAACAAGAAGAAACTCCTGTTATGTTTCCCGTGTATGAGATATTGTCTGCTGTATTCTGTATTTTTTTATTTTTATTTTTTTGACTAACTGTATGGAAAGTTGTCAGTAAAGCCTTTGTCAGGATGAATTTTTAATCTGACCAGAGTCCTGGTTTAATCAGGTTTTTTCTTAAAGAATGGAAGACTTCCCTCGGTGCATGCCCTATGTCCTGCTTTTGGCACCGCTGCTTCTAAAAGTTGTGCTGCGTTGGTGGTGCTCAGCTCTTCATGTCAGGAACTCTGTTCACACTTGTCAATCTTAGCTGATGGCCAGCAGGCTTATGTGACATGGGTCCGGTTACACCACCGTGAGCTGACCCCTTAGAGGAAGGGCCTGCGCCTAAGATCTGTGCCAACAGCTACAGGTAGTTTTTTGTTGTTGTTTTCCCTGTCCTAAGTGTGTGCTTTAGTTTGAGCTATGGCTGTTAGACAAAGCACCCAATTATAAAGCCTGTTGGACAGAGGGTAGTTTTCAGTTTTGCAGTCTTGCATTCGGGGGAAGTAACAGTGCAATATTGATGCTGAGGGGCCTTGTACATGACCTGTCCAGGTTCCCTCTGGTTCAGGCTTCAGTCTTAATATAGTTTAGGGTCTCCAGTATCAGAGTCAGCTACCTGGTTCCCAGGGGTCCTGGAGGCAAAATGTTGGCATGCAGGGTGAGAGGCATCCTAACTTGTTTAACTCTTCAATGTGCTTGTGATTTTGGGCTTTCTTTGGTCTTCCAGGGCTATGTCAGTAGAGTTGAGCCTGTGCCACAGTCAAACCTAGAGCTTTATGGCAAACAGCAAACCCCCCCAACTACAATCCTCAGTGCTGCAAGGGAATACAGTGCCAGGAAGATGTCCTTGATGAGTAACGTAATGTTCGTGCTCTGATACACAGAAATGAGGTAAGGAAATAGATATTTCTTTGTGGGAAAGAAGTCAGAGTTGCTAAATGATAGGCTACAGCCACATCAGCTATGGTTAGAAGGACACAGATTGGGGCATCCTTGGGTTCAGGGGGAAAAGTGGCCTAAGGAGTTTGAGGTTCTGCCTTTGCTGTCTCAGTATGAAACTGGATCAGGCAGCAGTTGTCACCACAGATGACAGCCAGGCTGAGAATGTGACAACTTGGATAGTTGAAACCAGTCAGGCCTTGGACAGTGGGAATCCTGGTCAGAGATTCTGGCCCACTTCCTGAGACAGCACTTGTGACCCCTGGGCTCTGAGATGGACTTTGGGGGTTGTATGGAGTTCATGCCTGTCTACAAGGGCAGAATCTCTGGAGATTGGGCAGAACAGGGACTTTTCACTCACCAGGCCTTGGCTGATATTCACGAGACCAAGCATGGCTCTAAAACAATGATTTTCAACCTGTGGGTCTCGACCCCTTTGACAAACTTAATATTGCCAGAAGATATTTACATTGCAATTCATAACAATAACAAAATTACAGTTATGAAGTAGCAATGAAAATAATTTTATGGTTGGGGTCTCCACATGAGGAACTGTATTAAAGAGTCACACCATAGGAAAGTTAAGAACCACTGCTCTAAAACATAGAGTGTCAATGTATCTGCCTGTGTCTACCTGAGCTGTATGGCCACAGCCTTTAGGGATGGGAGTGTCAGTCGGCCTGGTGTTCCAAACTACTTCGGGATTCTTTGTTGTACCACCAGAAACCACAATGGGCCTCATCTTGAAGGCCTGTTATAGTCTTTCTTGTAGATCTTGAACAATGTCACAGAACAGTTGTTGTAGCACTTCTGTGTCCCCATCTTCCTTACCAAAACAGGTTTTATCACCCAGGCAGAACCAACTAAATCACCTTGGCCCCAGCTTTATCAGCCTGTTTGGAAAGGGGCACCCTTTGGCTCCAGTGATAACCACTGCTTCTGGGTGAAGAACCACACTCCACTGTAACCTTCTACCTTGGACCACTTAACTGCTTCCTTTTAGTCCTTAAGACATAATGGGTCCGGTCCTGTGGCCTCTCAGCTAGCCCTGCCAGCACTAAAGGTGGTCAGGTGGCCAAGGTATTGTTTGATCATGGTATTGTCTCCAGTGAAAAAATCGAACAGCAGGTACCCAGTGCCTGAGATGTTTCATGAAGGCAAAAAACATGAGCAGACAAAAACCCCTGTTTTCATATCCTGTGTCTTCCTTACTGACTCAGGTTTTGAACCCTAGTTAGTAGAACAAGAAAGGTAGATGTTTTCTTTTAGTCTCAGGAAGCACATTCCTAAGGGAGAGTTGTCAAGTCAACCAGAATTGTGCTTTCCTATTAAATGTAGCCATCTCCACCTTGGGAGGCCTGTGGGCGCTCCCAAGAGCTCCTGACAGAGAGCTGGGGTAGTGACAGTGCAGTTGTTACTGCTTTCTCTTCAGCTGTGTTCAGTACCAGCCATCAAGACTTCACTCCCCACTGTCAGATAACCATTTAATGCTAAGGCAAATGAGGAGCTGAGGCCTCGGCCTTTAAAGGAACAGGATGTACCTCTGGTAAAGGCCACTTCAGTGTGACAGGTTGTGTTCCTGAGTGTAGCAGGTTCTACCTACCCCTGGAGAGTTTTCACTGTCTTGTGTTGCTTGTTTACTTCATACCCAATGCACCCTTCTCTCAGTTAAGGGAGAGGTGTCTCTGTGGCTGTGTAATTAATGCCTATGTAACAGAAACCGAAGCTACCATTTGGACAAAGTCAGAGAAATTAATGTTTTATATTTATTGTGGGAAGGGAAGGGTGGGATGAACAAAACATGAGCCCCTGACACTGTCAATTTTAGACCCGTGAAGTTTTTTTCCATATGCAGCCTGACCAAGCTTCAAGTACCCCTCAACTTCTGGGACTGAAAAAGACCAAGGGATGGCCAGAATGATCCCTAAAGGTCCCACACATGGTAAGAGATGTAGCCCTACTCCCTCTGCCCCCACGTCATCCTCACAAGACCTCTGGTCTGGCCAGAACTGTGAGGAGGTGGAGAGGAACACCCACTTCAGTAAAAGAAAGCAAGGAAAGGCCATAAACAAAGACAGACTTGTAGTTTATTTTGTATTTTTTTTTAAATAAATACACTTTACATTAAAGAAAAAGACCTTTGATTTGTAATTTCCACATTGGGGAGAAAGGGAAGGAAAAAAAGACTTGAAAAACTGAATCACAGGGGGTGGGGTGGGGGGAGTGAATTTATACCCTAAAGTTCTCTCAACTCCACAAAGCCAAGGTCCACACAACTGCTGTCTGGCCACCAAGGTAGGGAGTTAGGCATTTTCCCAGTAACAAGCCATGCCTTCCATTCCCGCTCTGGCACAAAGGAAAACAAATTAACTCGACAGCGTATGAGGCAACAAAACAGGTTAAAAAATCATATATTATATTTATAATAAAATATTCTTAATCCTTATCAATTTAAGAAACCACGATTTTCCTCTTCATTTAAATACGTATGTAAAAATGCCTCTATATTGTTCCTTAGACATCATTTTCTTCAAAGAAAATGAAGTGCAGGGATAGGAGACTGGTGGATATAAGTTCAGACCCTCGGTTTATAAATGCCTGTTGCTTTTTTTTTCTTTTTAAAGTTTTATAAAAAACTATTTCTTGTTCTTTAAGTAAAGAACATTATACAAAGAAAATATATTGTGAAATACCCAGAGACATGTTTGTTTTTTCCCTTGAGGAAAGCTATGTCCTTCCTAGGAGGAGGGGACGCAAACTAGGGCCTAGTCCCTGTAGTCTTTTTTTTTTTCTTTTTTTTTTTTCTTTTTTTTTGGGGGGGGGTTGTGTGTATGTGTGTGTGTGTGTGTGAGTGTGTTGTGTGTGGTTGTTATTGTTTTTAGAAGGGCCCTCAGATTCCAGGGAGGCTCTAAATCATAGTCCTCAATGCAGAGCATACAGTTCCTTAACGGACAGCCCTGGGAGACCGCAAAAGGCAGGTGTTCTGAATTCATTCACTCAGTTTCTCTGGCCTGCCAAGATTCTCTTCCAAGTGGGGATGGCACATCACTCATTCAGAGATAAGATGATGTCATCTTCCAAATCAGAGTTGTCCGAGCTGTCTGCTGAAAGGTAAGAGAAGGGAGAGAGAATTATGTGCTAGGATTGTAGGAAACCCTGCATTCAACACACTTATGCCTGAGCAGGGTTAATTACCAGTTTCCAGAAAGTAGAAAACACAACAATTAACTCCTTGGAGCTTAGCTCCAGAGAATATGCCTGTTGCTGGCAACAATGAACACCCTTGGGACCTTTAGTTCTCTTGCCTTTCAAAAGACCTGAACCTGAGGCCCTGCTTCCTACCTGAGGTGCCCCAGAGGGATCAAGTGTCCTCAAGCCTCCACCTGGGGCACTGGGCTGCAAAGGGACAGGGCTGAGAGGAGAACAGAGGTCCCAGCCCCAGGCCTATTGTGTCTTTATGGCAGGATCATAAGCCTGACCCTGAGAAAGCACTAAAAAGGGAGGCTCATGAGCTCTAAGCCAGCCTGAGTTAGAGTAAAACCCTGTCTTTAAAACAAAGTATGTTACCAGGGGACTGGGAGACCAGACAGGAAGAACAAAGTTAACAGTTCAAAGTAGCAGACACAAAGGATAAACAAGTCTAGAGTCCTAACATACTAAAGAGTTTTGGGGAGGGGTATTTTTTGGTTTTGTTTTTAGCTGTTCTTGCCATAGGAAGTAGGTGATGGTTAGATAGTAGGCATGTCCATTTTTCACTACAGTAACCTTTTTATATAAGTCCCATATTTTCATGATGGATACCTTAAATGTACACACTGACTTTTTTTGGGGGGGGAGGGGGGGGCTGTTTTAATTTAAGACAGGGTTTCTCTGTGCAGCCCTGGCTGTCCTGGAACTCACTTTGTAGACCAGGCTGGCCTTGAACTCGGAGAGATCCACCTGCCTCTGCCTCCCGAGTGCTGGGACTAAAGCCATGCACCACCATAGCCCGGCACTATAATTTAATTTTAAAAGCAAGTTGAATCTCTTTCTCCAGTCCTAGGAGCCTACAAAGGCAGATGACCGTAGGACTCAATCCTTGTATTGTAATGCAGCTACAGAAGAGCCATCCATCCACAAAGGAGGAGGCCAAAAGGAGCACTGAGACCAAAGGCCTCCAACAATATGCAGACAGGAACAAAATCATTGACACTTCTGGAACGATCCACTGAGAAATGAAACTAAATGATAGCAAAAGAGCCCCCCAAAGCCAGGTGTGAGGACCATTGTAATCCCACGCTCGGGAAAAGTCACCTGGCTGTAATGAGACCCTGGTCCTTAACCCTCCCTTCACCAAAGGGCCCTTAAAAATCACATCATGCCTATCTGATGAAGTAAAAAAAAAAAAAAAAAAAAAAAAAAAAAAAAAAAAAAACCTCTAAGGCCCTATGTGTTTGTTCAATAAACTATGGAAAGGGGCCAATAAAGTGTCTCAGCAGGCAAAGGTCCCTGCCACCAATCCTATCCAATTGCCATCTGTCCCTGAAGCCTACATGGTGGAGAGAACCAACTCCACAAACTGTCCTCTGACCTCCGCACACTGTAGAAAACATGTTCTCTCCTTAAATGTAATTTGAACTTTTTTAAAAATGTACATATGGGTGTTTTGCTTGCATGTATATCTGTGCAACACAAATGTTGGGTGCCCAAGGAGGTAACAGGCATCAGGTCCCCTGGAACTGGAGTTACAGATGGTTATGAGCTGTCATGTAGGTGCTGGGAATCAAACCCAGGTCCTGCAAGATCAAGTGCTCTTAAAATTTTTTAAAATAATAACAAGGTGTGGAGAATATTTTCCTAAGATTCCCAGGAGTGTGGACCACAGAGCCTGAATCCTGAAACACCTAGACTCTGGCGTGTCCATGTGGAAAGGGATGCCCACACATACACAGTTTCAGCAGCCTCTCCAAGGTACCTGAAAGAATTCTAGGGCAAGGCAAGGAAGGAAAAACTCATGTTCCCAAATCCTCATTCTCTTCAAGGACCCTGGGGGGAGGGGGGACAGTAAAACAAAAAGACAGTACTAACACAAGAATGCCCTTCAAGTAAAAAAGAGATGGTTTGACGGTAGGGAAATCGGTGTTCCCAGAATCCAAACGTGGCCCAACATTGCAAGGATTGGGAAACACAATGGAGTGGTCACAGAATAAAAAGCTGACACTTGAACATGAACAGACCGTACCCAAGCAGCTTCTCTGAGGTAAAAACTCCAGAAGACAGTAAGGAAGTGCTCCCCAGAGCCACACACAGCACCTGTCAGTGCCAAACACTTCTGCAAACCTCTACAGAATCCTTCAGTGTTTGTATCATAGGCAAGCCAACAAGGCCAGGCCCAACTGCCTGAGAACCTCCCCAGGAAGTAAGGCAGTTCAATCCCCCTAGCCTACTGCAAAAAGGAGCCAGCCAAGACTTAACTCTGCATCACATCTAAGGACTGCTCAGTGAGGATCACAGTACCCAGTGGTCAGATGACAGGACCCCTTCTATCAATCCCCCTAGCCTTTTCTCAGCCCCAAGTGTTGCAGTGACCCAATCCCCAGCATCTGGTCAGGATCTCCCATCCTGAAAGGTCTATGCAGCAAAGACAGATGAACTATAAATATCTTTCTGGTGTTTTGACCTGTTGTTGCTTTACAATATCCAGGCTTGGGAGCAAGGGGTCCCCAGAAGCAGAAACACAAAGACCCTGACGACATGCCTTCCTCTCAAGCACTAGGGTTCTGTGTCTGGAGCTGTGCCCTGCAGGACCCAGGGCCTTTGCAAAGTCATATGACAGCCTATAGGGTGTGGGTTTCTATGGCTTTCACCATACCCTAAAAAGGCTCCATAAGCTCAGGCACAGTTACTCTAGACAATCAGAATGAATCTTATAACAATTCTTATAAATAAGGAGTCTAGTACAGCCACAAGGGATAGCAATATCCACAATGGACAGCCCATAAAACACAGAAAGAGCAATCAATAAAGGACAACCTACAGGTGCCACCTCTGTGTCTCCATCTCAGAGTCCAAGCAGAAATATCCACATGTTGTCATGTATATGTCAATATTTACAACCAAGTTATAGTGACAATATTCTTATAATTTATAAAATTAAAGTTTTCCAGATTACCTTTGTTTTGAGAGAAGAAATTTTCAGAATGGCAAAAGGAGGGTGTACTGTTAACAAATACAAATTGAGAGGATTTATATTCAAATTAAGAATGGAAAACCTGAAGCTGGGTGTGGTGGCACATGCCTGTAATCCCAGTACTCAGATGATGAAGGCAGAAGGATTAGGGAATTTGAGGTCAATCTGGGCCACACAGTAAACCATGTTAGGTGACTAGGACAAACTCGGGGTCTGAGATGACGACCATTGTGCCCCACACAAAACCAAGCATCCTTGGCTGAACCAGTACCTGGTGTCACCTTGCAATACCTGAGAGCAATGTACATTAACCATGTAGCCACTGCTGCCCAGGATCCCCCCTTTCAGAGAAACACTGAAGCGTCAACTGTCCCTGCCAGAATAAGACCCAATGTAACACTTAAAGGGCGTTTCATACCAAAATGCATCATCCCAATACAGGTAAGCTAGGACTACGCTAAGGTGTCTGGAAGGCAAGTAGTCCCCACCACTGGGGATGTGCACAGTTGTATCAAAACAGTGAAGTCCAAGACCTAAAAAAAGTTGGAGCACGGATTAGGCTCCTTGCCGCGAATAACACTTAAACCCATCTTATCACCATATGGGTGTCCCTGCTGCTGTCAAGACTCCTTCCATTTTTCTTTGCATTTAATGGGTAGAGGTTTAGAAACATTACAGAATAAAAAAGCCCAGAGATCTTCACTCCTCTGGTGATTAAATGCACATTAGCACATCTATGTGTCATTTACTGTTGTAAAGCATGAGCAGAAGCTGAAGTGCCATCTGGATTGTTGGGACACGGTCACTGGTAGCGGCTCTCTGCTTTCATTCACTGCCCCCATCATGGATTAAGTACACAGCCCTGTGAATGAAGGCAGTTGTCAGGGTTAGAGTAGGGGGTGGGAAGGTTTCTCTATTTTATCTTTGTTGGGGAGTATTTTTATTTTCATTGCCTGGGTTATATTCCCTCCCAATCCCCCTTTATGGAGATAGTGTACTGGTTAAAAAAAACAGGGATGCAGTTCTTCAGGATATGCAGTCTAGCCACTCCTCGCTATAAAGTAGGCCCTGGAGGAATAGGCCTGACTGAACAAAAATGGGACACCCAATAACAGTATTGCAACCCTTGTTGGTAATACTATAACTTTGTTGTAAAGTCCCTCCTTCAAAAGCAGCTTTTGATTAGTCTTTCTAGTTTATCTAAAAACTTACTTAAAAACAAACAAATAAAAAATAAATGGACACTCTCTTACATGTGGTGGTGACACCAGCTTCTTGCAGTTAACTGACCCCACCTCCTGTATTATTAACTAATGTTATTAATTGAAAGGAGGTATAATTGTCTGTAACATCTCACTATTGGTATTTTATTTAAAATGTCTCTGGGTCCTTCTTACCTGGCTTTTAGGTCATGGCCGGGATCACCTCAACCTTTAAATATGATAAACAGCAGATAGGTGGATATAAGCAATCCCACCCCCACCAAGAGCTTCCTCAAGTAACTCTAAGAGGACTTGCTAAAAGTCTCTACTAAGGCAATCAGCTGTCAGTCTTCAGCACTACCAGCCCATAAAAGTTATTTGTCCCAAAGAAAGTAAACTTACATCAGGTGGAAAAGCATTGTGTATGCATAGTACATATGACAGGAGTTATTTATATTCACCTCTTCTACCAGAAAACATGATTATAAACATAAGGCCCTCTGATGAAGAAGCTTGGCATTTGCTTGGCCTAGGCCATCACAACACAACTTTCTGTCATGATATTAAATGATATGAATGTATGTATTCCTGCCGTAGCAATATATGGCTACAGAGCATTTGGAAATAAGAAGCTAATTTTTAATTTAATTAAACATGAACATCCCTCTGTGATTAGTGGCTGTCATTATTACACACAATACCTTACCATGCCTGTGAGAATGCTGGTTATGATAGCTGGGTATATGAGACAGAAGTCACTCCTCACTCAGGCAGGGCAGCAATACAAAGAACTAGGACCACAGTTACAAGTCTGGCAACAATGGCACTCTATAGCAATGCTGAGACATGGAAGAGTGCAATGGTGGTGTTCGCTCAGTCTTAACACTGCTGGTTGGTTTATTTAAGATTCATTTGTAGCAAAAGTAGAAGATGGCTTCCGAAATCCACTAGTGGGGAATTACTACACAGACTGGAGTTTGCTCTTCAAACTTTGGAACAAGAAGTGGAGGAGGAATGAACAAAACAGATGCATTTGTTCCTCAGCCTTTAGGGGGGACTGGTCAAAAGCAGCCTGGAAATGGCTCTCCCACAAAAGGTCCTTAATTTGTATGCAACAATCACAAAGGCACAGTAGCCTGTAAGGAACTGCTTCTCACTGATTCCAGCCTGAGCCTCAAGTGACAGCTGTGCTTTGGCCTTTCTAAGGCCAAGCCTTTAAAGAAGGAATTCAAAAGCTATAGGCTTCATACCTACTTTGTAAACAAGGTTTATTGGAACAGTCATAAACATCAACTTATGTTTGGCCTGTGACTGCTTTCTCATTCTTACAGCACAGCTGAGTGTCTGCAATAGAGAGCATACAAGCCAGGAAGTGGAAAAAAAAAAGCATTGGCTTTGCTTTAACAGAAAAACGTTTACAGGCCTTTGGTTAAAATGTAGAGGTAGGAGCCAGGTAGGATAGTTATAAAATCTGATAGGAGAATAGGGGTGATTGATGCCACAGTGCTATTCCTCAAGAGGCCAGAGTGATGAATCAGCAGAACCCAAGCACAGCTGTCTTCTGGACTGGGTTGGTCCAAGAAGAGGGACCTGGCCCCAGGTGCTAGGGTTCCTCCCAAACTCTGCCTTATACTTACTGTCACCCAGGATCAGTTCTACTTCCTCATCTGCATCAGAGTCTTCATCTTCCCCCTCCTCTCCCTCTTCTAGAAGATTTGCTAACTCCTCATCAGAGGGAGAGAAGTCATTGTCTCCATCCTCTCCTGCGTTCTCATTGTTGTCATCCTCCTCCAGTTCTGCCTCCAGCAACTGGTCAGTGTCAAGTTCATCTAAATCATCAGTGTCATCATCATCTTCATCATCATCCTCTTCCTCCTGTTCTTCCTCTTCCTGGCAAGACAGCATCAAGTCCATTAGGACAAACACAAAGGCTTAACCCATATGGGCCATGTGGTGATTCCTACTCTTGGGGTGGGGGAGGCACAAAGGAATAAACCGTTATCCATGATGATTGGGACAGACACACATGTTCAAGACATTTGAAAAACCCTTCAGCAAGGATTATGGGCCTCTCCACAAGGGCATCCTGGTGATACAGCCCTTATGCAAAGAAACAGAAAACCTGCTTCACATGTGTCTAAAGCTACCAATAACCTTCAAAGACCTAAAGTTCCATGTTCTAGCAAAACAGAACACAGCTGCTGAGTTGCCAGCTCCTAAACCCCGCAGCTTATGTACTCCATCCTACATAATGGGAGATCCTTCAGAGCTACTGAGCACTTAGTATGAACATTTCAACAAACAAGGCACACAAGACAGAGCAAATAGATACCTACTCTTCCCTGTTACAAAGCAATCAAGCAAGCAAGCAAGCAATCAATATTGTGCTAGAAAAGCAATGAACATTTTCTCTAGGTATCCTAGACTCTAAATATCCTGCCACTCCCTTTTTAAAAAAGCACTTTGTTGACAAGGCCCTGGGTTCAAACTCCAGCACCACAAAGAAGGAAAAGAAAAGGAAAGGAAATCACATCTACAGTATAAGTCAGACTTGTCCACAAGCAGTTCTGCATCTAGGCCTCATAACCCAGGAATAACCATTAAAGACTTTTTAACACACAACAGGTAGGGGGTGAGCGTTCGCTCTTTGGTGTTAGTATAGCTGGGCAGAAGTGCAACAGCACACATGTGGAAGTCAGAGGACAACCTCCACTGCTGATCTCATCTTCCATCTTAAGACAGGATCTCTTGTTCTTCAGCCAAGTATCTAGTCTGGCATGCAAGCTTCTCCTGTCTCAGCCTCCCCCATCACTATAGGAGTTACAGGATTATAACTGCTTACTACCATAACCAGTTTTATGTGAGTTCTGGAGACTCAAGATTGGGTTCATGCTTATTTGGCAAGTACTTTTCTCACTCAGCCATCTCCCCAACCCATAGATACCCTTGATAAACAGCTTGATGCAGTGATTCAGACTTTCCAACAATTGATGGCAGCTACATGGGAAAAACTAGTGATATTCAGTAATCCTAGTGTGTGCAAGGATGTGACTATACTAGAGGTGTGTGTGTTGTGTGATCACTTGAGACCACTATTCTACGTCTTTGGCTATGTATCACTTCCAAAAACAGACTTGATAACTACTAAGCATTCACCTACCTGAAAGGAGCTAAGAATGTCTGGAGGAAGCAGTGAGTGAGTAACACAGACGAGCTCACACAAACAAAAGAGAAACAAGAGGTCAAAGTCAGGAAAAGCTCAAAGACCTCATCAGATAATAACTTCAGCTCCTTTGCAGGCACATTTCCATGGCCTTGACCAAAATTACATCTATTAACAAAGAACCAACATTAAAAATAAACACAGAGGAAAGAATAAGGACCTATGTCTCTCTAGTCATTGTGGAACAAAACAATTATGTTTAAAATTTTTGACAGGTAAGACCTGTCAAAAACAAACAAGAAATTACAACAGCACAACCCCTGAGCTTTTTTTACTGGGAGTGGGGGGTGCACAGAATGTATGGGGCTAGAATACAGACCAGGACACCATATATGCCAGGCAAGCACTCTGCCACTGTATACCTCCAGCTAAAAACAACCTGGTTCTGTTTTTTTTGAGACAGGGTTTCTCTGTGTAACATCCCTGGCTGCCCTAGAATTGCTCTGTAGACCAAGCTGACCTCCAAATCACAGAGATCTGCTTGTCTCTGCCTCCCTAGTGCTGGGATTAAAAGTGTGCATACCACCACACAGCATCAACATAACTTTTCAAGGCCCACAATTGAGTGGATATGTTAGCTGTTCAACTAGGTATTAGTTAATCAGCAAATGCAAGCTTGGTTGACCAATAATTAAGTAGTTTCCAAATCAAGAGCAATGCTGGAAAATAGCAAATACAAGGGTTAAATTTCACCATCTACAAACCAAACTTTTTAGGCTTTATGTCACCTCCTTGTCTCTACTCTTAATGCGTAGTTATGTCCATCTTAACTGTCTAAAATTCAAATCTGAAACCTGGATCATGGAGCTCACAGACCTATCCAAATGTTGTGGCAGAATCCAAAGAGACTAAGGAAGGAACATTTAGAGCAATTACTGCGAGTCAAAGCCCCAACAGCACAGCATCTCTCTTTTCTATCTAAATAAGGGTTCCATTGGATCTAATGTAAAGTGTTGGCTTTTGTTTTTCTAATTCTTTAAGTCTTTACCAGGATTGAAGACACTTTAGAAGAACTGAGAATGAAGCCATTTTAAAAGCTACTAATAATCTCTGCAGGGAATGAGGTACATTAAAAAAAAAAAAAGCTACTAATAAGTTTTAAAACATAGTGAAGTAAACTTTTTTCTTTCTGAATTCAAGTCAATTTCATGATTATCTAAAGCCCCAAAGCCTCCTGCCAGATCAAAAGCAGGAATTCCCTCCCTCCTCTAGTCTCTGGCCCTTAAATGTGACTTTGGCAAGCTTCCTGCTCTGGGCCTGAATCCACCTTGAAACATGTTCCCACAGATGTGCTCTTTACACCCCTGCCCTGGAGACCTTCACGCCCTCCACTGCTACTCACTTCTTAAGCAAAAAGATTCAGCTCCCCAAACCCAACAATTTCTCATTAGTACGTAGGCTCCAAGTGCCTGCCACCTATCCACTGTTGAAAAGGTAACAAATGCATATCTGGCTCCCAGACACTCAGCTGCCACTACTCCACTTGCTCACTTTGTCTTTCTTCTTATACAGGGAGGACCAATTTCGGCCCACACCACTCCACAGTGTACAGTGTGCTCTGGAATGAGGCTGCCTCCACTAAGCCAAACTATAAGCATAAAGATCAACTGTGAGGTAATTTTTAAGTGGTATTTTACTTATTGCTTTGGTTTATTGAGACAGGGTCTCACTATATAGCAATGGATGTCCTGGAATTTACTATGTAGACCAGGCTGGCCTTAAACTCACAAAGATCTGCCTGACTCTGCCTCCCCAGTGATGGAATTAAAGTTACGCAACACCATATCTGGTTAATCTAAGTGTTTTGTGTGCTTCTGTTTGTTTGTTTTCTTTGTTTAATGTATGTGTAAAGTATATGCTTTTGGAAAGTGCTTGATGTACATACAATGTTCAATGAGCGAGTTTGTTGTTCATAGGCACGTAACCCTCTGTGCTGAATATCAAAACCTGAACATTAACCATCAGGCTCCAATGTAGTAAATGTCACTAGCCAAAGCTGGCATTTAAACTATCAGCGAATGTCACTAGACAATTTTGTCTCCTAAACTATTGCTAGACTGATCCTTATTTTTTCCCCTAAGCATATTTGTTTTATTTTTTCTGCCTGCATATATCATTTCACACCTAAAGAAATTTAAAACTCACATAGTTTTACAACCAAATTCTGGCTACTTCTAACAGCATTCATCCCCCTTCTCAGGTAAAATCTGAAGCTTCCTTGCAATTGTCCCGCTTCCTTGGCTCTGCTTCTAGTTAACTTGTTTCTCAAAAACCAGGGTCTCCAGCAGCCCCTTCCCACACCCTGCCCTCCACTGCCGCACTATCCCTCAGCCCACCAGCCCACTGGGCTCTGCGCTCTGTGTGCTCTATTCCCTTCATAAGCTAAACATCCCAAAGGCTGCGTGACAATCCGCCTGGGTGCTGGGATTAGAGGCATGTACCACCGCAGCAGGCAAGCAGATTGTTCTGGATGGAGTTTACGCAGTACAATTGTGATGGGAACCCTAACCCTGAACCAGTGCAGATGCCAGCTCAAGTACACACGGCTCTGAAGCTCCACTTTTCTGTCCACCTCACCTTCCCAAGGACAGGAGCATGGAAGTTACGTCTAGGCAATCCCACTAACCACACATCAAACTGGCTAGTTGCCAAGATTTGTGAAAAATCTTCATATGTGTGCTTATTTAATGTAGCATTTGTTCAGAGATAATTCAAAAATTCTTCTTGAATCTTTTTTTCAAGAGAAACGGCTTTTAGCTTTTATTTCCTTCCAAAATATAACCAGTCAGAAAACCAAATTTCTGGCCATACTTTAAAAACAGTTAATCAAAAACCAAGGACAGTTTTTAAAATGAAATTCAGATGCAATCCTGCTGTCTGACACGTCTCATTTGCACACCTCACTTCCTTCTTTAGCACCTGTTTGTTACTGCACTGACCACCCCAAAAGGCTACGGGTTTTTTAACTCAAGTACATTCTTTTTTTTTTTTTTTTAAAGGGGAAAAAAAAAAAAGAGAGAGAGAACCTTTCAGGGGTCACTACATTCACCTCTGGCCAGGGGTGCAGTTGGTGTGGACTCACCATCCGCTTCTAGGCAGTGGAGAACACACACAGGAGGCACAGCACACAGTGTGTCCCAGATTCCAAACAGAGTGGAAAAAAGAAAACATTATTCCCTTGTTCAGATTGTTCTTTATAAATTTAAGGTTAACAGTAATTAACTGACAACTACTGAATTTTCAAAATCTAGTAATAATGATCATTAACCTTTGGCTTCATAACTTTCCCTAAAAGCCAACAACAAAGTTGACTAAATTTTTTGGAAATAGATACTAAACTTTGAATAAATAATATGAACTCTAGGAGTACTTTTATGAACTGCCTGATGCTAGGCAGAGTAGCTGCCTCAGGACCAACGAAGCAAGGTTAAGTGTTCCTATACATTCCACTCAATCAGCATGATGACAGTTCATCCCTTTCTGTTAAATATCCACACTTACTTAAGCCTAAGGATAAAAAGCAACTTTTTCATTCACGTATTATGTATATATGAGCAGAGATCAGGAGCCATCTTGTGGGAGTCTGTTCTCTCCTGCCACCACAGGGTTTTAGGGATTGAATGCAGGTCAGTCTTCATCTCTCAATAACTAGCATTTCATATAGGTA